CTGCTGGAAGTGGGGAGGGGGTGTGCAGTGACGAGTTCATTGTTTTGCTGAAGTTGTTAAAGGGGTCTTTCTCTCCTTTTTTTGGGCTGCACTCCACCTGCAGAAGGTAAGACCAGAGCCAGCACTGCTCGTGTCCAGCTCCTCCCCTAACACCCCCTCTGGCATTCCCTAATCCAGAGCTGCTCCTGCCCTGCTCCAGGGAGTAACCCCGGAGTAACCCCTGCTGCTCTCCCCTGCCTCCAGCTGGGAACCCGGGGCTTGGGAGCTCCTTCCTGGCCGTGTCCTGTCCTGCTGCCTGTGTGGGTTTGCATGTGGGCTTCGTGCTGCTTGCGGGGTGCTGCATGTTGGGGGTGTCACTGGCAAGGAGCTGCTCCCCTGCCCCTGCCCCTGTCCTGCTGCTGGCACTGCCAGCCTGGCCCTGGGGTGGCTGCACCCCTCAGCAAAGAGCTCCTGGCTCACAGGAGAGGGGGAACGGGGGGAAAAGCTGGGAAATGCTGCCCCGAGTGCCTGTGGCAGCTGGATCCGGGCTGAGGTGGGAAATGGTTCCTGGGGATGCCTTTGGTCTGGAGCTTCCCTTGGTGCCTTGGGAAGGCTGAGCTAGAACAGGAGAAATCAAATCCAAAACCAGGAGAAAGGGCAATCAAATCCAGAATCAGGAGAAAGGGCAATCAAATCCAGAATCAGGAGAAAGGGCAATCAAATCTAAAACCAGGAGAAAGGGCAATCAAATCCAGAATCAGGAGAAAGGGCAGTCAAATCCAGAATCAGGAGAAAGGGCAATCAAATCCAAAATCAGGAGAAAGGGCAATCAAATCCAGAACCAGGAGAAAGGCCAATCAAATCCAGAATCAGGAGAAAAGGGCAATCAAATCCAGAATCAGGAGAAAAGGGCAATCAAATCCAGAATCAGGAGAAAGGGCAATCAAATCCAAAATCAGGAGAAAGGGCAATCAAATCCAAAACCAGGAGAAAGGGCAATCAAATCCAAAACCAGGAGAAAGGGCAATCAAATCCAAAATCAGGAGAAAGGGCAATCAAATCCAGAATCAGGAGAAAAGGGCAATCAAATCCAAAATCAGGAGAAAGGGCAGTCAAATCCAAAACCAGGAGAAAGGGCAGTCAAATCCAAAACCAGGAGAAAGGGCAGTCAAATCCAAAATCAGGAGAAAGGGCAATCAAATCCAAAACCAGGAGAAAGGGCAGTCAAATCCAAAACCAGGAGAAAGGCCAGTCAAATCCAAAACCAGGAGAAAGGGCAGTCAAATCCAGAATCAGGAGAAAGGCCAGTCAAATCCAAAATCAGGAGAAAGGGCAGTCAAATCCAAAACCAGGAGAAAGGGCAGTCAAATCCAAAACCAGGAGGAAAGGCCAACCAAATCCAAAACCAGGAGGAAAGGCCAATCAAATCCAAAATCAGGAGAAAGGGCAGTCAAATCCAGAATCAGGAGGAAAGGCCAATCAAATCCAGAATCAGGAGAAAGGGCAGTCAAATCCAAAATCAGGAGAAAGGGCAGTCAAATCCAAAATCAGGAGAAAGGCCAGTCAAATCCAGGTGCCCAGTGCTGCATTTTGGCCACAATAACCCCCTGCAGTGCTCTTGGCTGGGGACAGAGGGGCTGGACAGTGCCCAGGCAGAGAGGGACCTGATGGGCAGCAGGCTGGACATGAGCCAGTGGCTCCTGGCCAGCATCAGGAATGGTGTGGCCAGCAGGAGCAGGGAGGTCATTCTGTCCCTGGCACTGGTGAGGTCACACCCCGAGGGTTGTGTCCAGTTCTGGCTCCTCAGGTTGGGAAGGACGCTGGGATTTGTCCAGAGGGGACAATGAGGCTGGAGAGGGGCTGGGGACACAAACCCTGTGAGGAACCCCTGAGGGAGCTGGGTGTGTTCAGCCTGGAGAAAAGGAGACTCAGGGGTGACCTCAGCACTCCCCACTGCTCCTGACGGTGGCTGTGCTCAGGTGGGGTTGGGCTCCTTCTCCAGGAACTGACAGAGCCAGAGGTCACAGCCTCAAGCTGTGGAATTCCAAGGGGAATTCAGGCTGGATATCAGGGAAAAGTTCTTCCCAGGAAGGTGATAAAGTTCTGGGATGGCTGCCCGGGGAGGTGGGGGAGTCCCCATCCCTGGGTGTGTTTAACAAAGCCTGGGTGTGGCACTGGGTGCCAGGGTTGGGTTGAGGTGTTGGGGTTGGGTTGGACTCGATGCTCTTGGAGGTCTCTTCCAACCTGGTGATCCTGGGAATTCTGTGACAATGACAGAATCTGGTTCCTAGGGCTGGTTTTGGGCAGCTGCTGCAGTCCAGGTGAGCAGAGGCAGCCCAGGTGCAGAACACGGGCAGTGGGAGAAGGGAATCAGGGAATGTTGGGGGATGCTGGGCACAGAGGCAGCAGAGACCCAGCAAGGGCTGCAGTCATCCCATCCCATCATCCCATCCCATCATCCCATCCCATCATCCCATCCCATCATCCCATCCCATCATCCCATCCCATCATCCCATCCCATCATCCCATCCCAT